AGGGCCCAGAGCCGCCCCCCCAGATATCGATATATTGCTCGTGGGCATGCTTCCTCCCATCAGCTGGTGGCTCCATCCTCTACACGTAGGCGCTGACCTACACAGATGCACAATACAGCCACTGAGTATGAGGAGGCAGTCAAGAGGAGCATACAGCTCGGCCCCTTTGATGGTTTGGCGCCCACTGAGGAGTGGATCGCTTCGCGCCCTACGGCGCCTGTAGAGGTCCATGCTAAGCCACGCCCACGCGCATCTTCGCAGCCTGCGGTCTCCCGAGTATCCCCCCCACCCCCCCCCGATCTGTCACCAGCAACGGGGTAGTCTTCAGGGGGGCCAGAAACACCTTCTAGAGGGGGGGCTCCCCCGATCAGGCAGGGTCCTGCGATGGCCATTTCTTAGCAGGGACGTCGGTGAGGGGACCAGGAACCGGGACACAAATGGGGGATGCGGGGATCAGGCCTCGGAGCCGTAAACACTCTTGGCCACCCTTGCGCGAAGAGCAGTCTGGGCCTCCTCCACCAGGCGCATCGAAGCATTGCAGGCAACCAGGCACTCGTCTGCAGGACCATTCCATGCTCTGTGCACCGCTCTACCCTCGGCGACGCCACACCGAGGGTACAGAGGGCAGAAGTTGCCAGTAACATCATTTGAAGTATTCTGGCGCGTCCATATTCCTGCGGACGCGTCGCATTCGACCGCCCCTTTCCAGGCATGCCGCTGCTGCTTGGCTAGCTTGGCGAGGTGGTGGCGTACACTAAACATTGCTATTCCCCGTGCCAGCCCTCCACCAACGTGCTGGGTCTCGGCGCGACTCCCAAGCTTTCGGACTGCTCTGTCATGGACCGCAGACAGCACGTTGGAGGGGTCGAATACGTACGAGTTCTTCAACCCGAGGGATCTACCTAAATCTCCTGGGGCTCCCACCCTAGTCCTAAAAGTGTCAGTATCAATGCTGAGATGAGTCCATCTATGTGCAGCCATCTCCGCTTGGACGCCATGGTGCAGAGGCCAGCGTTAGCAGCGCACCATGTGCGCTCGAGCCTCTTGAAGTCAGCCTGGACTCGACGGACACTGACACCATTCGTTGAGAGGCTCCAGCGCTTCCATCATAGTCGCATCCTTGGAGCCGAGCTGCAAGGCACACAGCGTGGCAAGGCATGGCACCTCCCCAGGCGCCTTGACCCCAGAGCGCACCCAGCAGCCTGCCCGAGCTTGAGGGCCCGACTCGGGGGGACGCCGAAAAGCTTGGCTTCGCAACGGGACTGGGGAACACACTTGTTCTGATACGCTTCCTACGCACAGATCCTTCACTCGCGCTGGCCTCGAGGCTCCTGCGCTGCTGGGCTCGCCCCCCTCGGTGCACGCCGCGGTCTGGAGCGGCATATCGGCAGCTTTCGCGTGATACCCAGGGCGCGAGAATGCGGGGAAGGGCCACGCCCAGGGACTTGTGTCCGAAAGCTGCATGTCTGACTGCGACAAGGAAGCCCGCTGCAAATCGCATTGTATTGTCTTACACCAGTTTCGGAGGGCCCTCAGCACTCGAGTGAACGTCATGAAGTGATAATGGCTGAAGCCAGCTCCCAGCGGGTCAAGTTCAACCCAGCGTTCTCGGAGTCTCGCTCCCAGGCCATTCCGAGACTTCTCCCCAGGAAGGCTGTCCATTTTGAGGGTTTCTCCGAAGGGCTTAGACGACCCGTCTTTTCCTCCTCCTCCGCCTCCTCCGTCCTCCTCCGCCTCCTCCTCCTCCTCCATCTCCTTCTCCCCCTCCTCCTCCTCCACCTCCTCCTCCTACTCCTCCTCGGGTCGCCTACGGCCCTGGCATGTCCACTTCCCAGAATCATTGTTCTGCGTCCTCAGCTAGATGTGTTGTGTTAATGTAGTGTTTCGATTTTGGCTTTTCTTTGAAAAGCTGCTAACGTCGCATGTAGTAGTCTGTTTTTTTTGAACGGCTGGATTGGTTTATTCCTTTACGTGCCGTTTGCCGGCGTTGTTTGCTTGTCCTTTTGCGAAAGGGTGTTCGTCTGTCTGCTATTCTGTACCGAAGGGGTGCGCCTCGGCGCGCTGTTTGGACCGAAGGGGGTGATGCTCGAGGCCCTCGGATGCCTTGCCCTTGTCCTTTCGGTTGCAGTTCTGGCGCCTGGAACGATCTCTCGGGGAAACGTAAGACTCGAGTGAGCCGGAGCTAGGGTTCGCCGAGGTTTTTTGACGAGCGCGCCCTGGATTCAAGGGCTCCCTCGAGGGCGCGAAGTTATTCGCGCTTCGCGCTTCGCGGTCCTCGTTCCTTCTCCCCCTCCTCCTCGTCCTCCTCTTCTCCCTTTGGGAGGGCGGCGCGAGAGCGCGAAGTTATTCGCGCTTCGCGCTTCGCGCAGCGCGAAGCGCGAACTTAGGAGCCCTTGGGATTTGGACGGTCCAGTTTCAGTGGGATGTCTGCAGCGGGAGCCCGCGCCAAATTTCAGATTGGGTCTCGTCATCTTGACGATGGCCCCCGTCAGGCCAACCCGAGTCCCCCGTACCCGAGCCTTACGTCTCCCAGAGCCTTGCCTGCGGCTGCCCGTGCGGCCGTCGTCGCCCCTGCCATTGCCCCACCTCGCCCGGAGAGCCGAGGCCCGGGCCCCGGGAGCGGGCGGGGGCTCGCAGAGCGCCAGGGTGAGCGCCAGGCTGCGCATGCATAGCACCCCGCCCGCGAGCCGGAGTTCCACTCGCAGCCGCAGCCGCGGGCCCGACACTGGACGAAGCTCGAGGAGGGCGCCATGCCTCCGAGGAGGAAGCACGCTATATAGACATGCAGCTCTCGGCGCTCCGCGCGGATCGGAATTCGCGCGCAGCGCCAGAAGTTTCTGTTTGTGTGTTGCTTCTTCTAATGCCGCGAAGGCCCTGCGCGCCGGTGAAGAGCTCCGCACCCGGGGCAGACCAGGCGGAGGGGACGAGGGCTGCCGCGGGTCCGCGG